AACTAGACAAGCAAAGATATAGCATATGAGACAAGTTCAAAGCCTAATTAACATAGATAAATGCATAAAAAGAAAAGATATTCCATTCACAAACCCTAACTAAATTCCTTGTACATAATGAAACCTAAAGCTAGAGTTTGGGGTACTAAACCTCTAGTACCTTCAGTAACTATTCCATAAAGGGGAGGAAAACTAGAGATGGGGGATTGGTGGAAAACCTTTTCTTTTTGGCTCCTCCTCCTTCTTCTCCTTATCTTCTTCTTCTTTTTTACTTCAACTTATCTCTCTAAACTCTCTAAAACCTTAAATTTAACCAAGTGTCTGAACTCCCTTTGCAAAGAGGAAGGGGTCCTCTATTTATAGACTTTAGAAGGACGGACAATATGGCGAGCGTGAAATTCAGGGATGAGGTTGCGATCTTGAAACACAACGTTTTCGTTCATTTGGCTCAGGAGTTCGCGGCCTGACTTCATAGTCGCGATCTGAAAGTCACGGGCACGGTCTTGGAAAATGGAGGCTACGACTCGACTATAGAAATCTTATGCCATTCTTTGGTTGTTGCTTCCTCAAGTTCACAACTAGCACCTCCTAGATCGCGAGCACGATCTTTGCTCTGGAGGCTACGATCTTTTACTTTACTTTGTAGGTTATTCTTCTTAGCCGTGATCTCCTCTAGCTCTTCTGTCTTGATCTCCTTGTTTTGCTCCTTATCCTACACTTGTGTTGCATTTTCGTGCCTAAAACACAAGTATCGTCCATGCACCCTAAGATGACAAGAATTATTTCGTGGAACGGATTCGAGATGCAATTGAAGATATATTAACAATAAAAATCGTAGAATGACCTGAGAATACCTAAAATAAAGAGGCTAAATAACACCAATTTGGATATTATCATATACAAATTAGTACAGGATGCTAAATATATCGAAAACTGATATTATTTTGTAGATCACAATAAAAAATTTGTTTCTTATGCACATAAAATTTCAAAAGTAGAGTTAAAACAAAGGAGGTAACTGGTGGTAATGTTTGGTCCAAAAATTTTCTCACTCAAATGTATAAAATAGATACTGGTTTGTAAATTATAATGAACACGGTCCTTTTGTAAATATTTTTTCCTTTTTCAAAATTTGAGTTAAAATGAAAAAGACATAAATAAATTACTTCAAGTATGAGAATTCAAAAGCCTTTTCATCTCAACCATCATATATATGATAACTTGAAAAAATATTGACCCTCTTAAAATTAAGAGTTGATTAAACACAATTGCATAACATATTAATTATTGTACATTTCATCCTACGCTCATCTTTCTCTATCTTTGTCTCATTCAACCAGCATATGTACAACTTTACGTAGAATAAAAAAAATCTCTTGGTTAAGCAGAAATTTCAGTGAAACACATCTTTGCTGTAATATTATCAAAATATCATATCATAATCTTTCTACTTTTATAAGACTAACAAAACAACCACACCATTGTAATTTCAATATATGATAATATAATGATATGATAATGATTGATGACGTAATTTTTTTTCTTTCTAAAAAACAGACTTCATACCAGCTTATCACAGTAATACAAACATCATACCACTATGGTAAGATATTTCGATGGTAGCACATGTCCCGCCATAACATTACCTTGGTGGACATCCTCATTGTCAGGGGATGGTCACATCGACCACCAATTAGATCCCTAGATAATTCATCTACACTAAACATGCCAACCGCTCAAATCCTCAACCTCCTCAATGAAACCCTAACTAGGCAATCAAATATATAGCATACGAAGACAGGTTCAAAGCATAATTAACATAGACAAATGTATAAAAACACTAGGCAAAGATATTCCATTCACAAATCCTAACTAAATCTCTTGTACATAATGTAACGTAAAGCTAGAGTTTGGGGGACTAAGCCTCTAGTACCTTGAGTAACTACTCCATAAAGGGGAAGAAAACTAGAGATGGGGGATTGGTGGAAACCCTTTCCTTTTTGGCTCCTCCTCCTTCTTCTCCTTATCTTCTTCTTCTTCCTTCAACTTCTCTCTCCAAACTCTCTCAAAAACTTTAGTCTGAGCTCCCTTTGCAAAGAGGAAGGGATCCTCTATTTATAGACTTCAGGAGGATGGACAATATGGCGGGCGTGAAATTCAGGGATGAGGCTACGATCTTGAAACTCAGTGTTTTCACTCATCTGGATCAGGAGTTCGTGGCCTCAAAGCATTCAAAATCGGGATTTTGATTGTAATATCGTAGGATTTTACTTAGGGATTCCGATCCTGATTTTACAATAAAATCGGTGGACCTTAAAATCGTTTAAAATCGGGATTAAAATCATTAAAATTGTAAAATCCTACCAAAATCGGGATTAAAATCGTATGATAACAAAATAGGCCGTTTGAGCAAATTTTAAAGAAGCGGAACCGATTAGGCAAAAAGGGCAATGATGGGGATCTTCTCAGATATTTTTCCTATTAAAAAATTGAAAAGAAAAAAATAACCAAATTATGGCTCGGTAATTCTCTTTCCCTTCATCCCGTTGAACTAATCGGCAAAATAGTTTTCCTAATATTGTACGTGCGGAAGAATTAATATCATTATTAACTCATTAATTCTTAATTAATACATTTTTGCCAAGCCACTAGCATTAATTATTCAATTGGAGTTCATATATTATTAGTTTTAAATCATGATTAACAGACAATATTAAAATTAACCTAACCGGAGTACTACTTTGAGTTAAACTATCTAAACACAACATGAAAAACAAGGGCCAAGCTCCATGATCTCTATCATTTGCTTGTGAATTATTTTATTTACGCATTAAATAACAATTATGTAGACACCACATTTTGTCTGTTCTAATATCTATCACAGGAATATCAAATTGCGCTTCCAATTGAGAAGTGTGACACAGTAAACTAGTTCACGAGGCCTTGCTTGTGAATTATTTTATTTACGCATTAAATAACAATTATGTAGACACCACATTTTGTCTGTTCTAATATCTATCACAGGAATATCAAATTGCGCTTCCAATTGAGAAGTGTGACACAGTAAACTAGTTCACGAGGCCAAATCAAGGAGCGACATGATTCATTCTTGAGTGTTTGACCCACTCCAAGTAAGATCGATGACGACTCCCAAAAAGCGAACGCGACCCCCGACGACCCTCGGAGGGACGGTTGCGACAAATTATAATGATGATCTTGGAACATTAATCTTGAGAATTATCATTTTCAATGTTATGTGCCTTTTTGTTAGTAATGGTTTACCTTATTAATATGATTATATTATAGTTTCTATATGGAACGTAAAATCCTACGATTTTACGATTCCGATTTTACCCCAGTTTTTGATTTTTGGTAAAATCCTGATTTTGACTGCTTTGCGTGGCCTGACTTCAAAATCGCGATCCAAAAGTCATGGGCACGGTCTTGGAAAATGTAGGCTAAGACTCGACTCGACTATCGAAACCTTATGTCCATTCTTTGGTTGTTGCTTCCTCAAGTTCACAGCTAGCACCTCCTATATCGCGAGCACGATCTTTGCTCCAGAGGCCACGATCTTTTACTTGACTTTGTAGGCTCCTCTTCTTAGTCGTGATCTCCGCTAGCTCTTCTGTCCTGATCTCCTTGTTTTGCTCCTTATCCTACACTTGTGCCGCATTTTTGTGCCTAAAATGCAAGTATCGTCCAATGCACCCTAAGATGACATGGATTTTTTAGGGGAACGAATTTGGAATGCAATTGACGATATATTAACAATAGGGACCGTAGAATGACCTAAGACTGAGAATACCTAAAATATAAACGCTAAATAACAATAATTTGGGTATTATCATATACGAATTGATACAGGGTGCTAAATATATCGAAAGCTGATCTCATTTTGTAGTTCACAACAAAAAATTTGTTTCTTATGCGCATAAAATTTCAAAAGTAGATTTAAAACAAAGGAGGTAACTGGTGGTAATGTTTGTTCCGAAAATTTTCTCACTCAAATGTATAAAATAGATACTGGTTTGTAAATTATAATGAACCCGGTCCTTTTGTAAAACTTTCTTTCTTTTTTAAAATTTGTGTTAAAATGAAAGAGACATAAATAAATTACTTCAAGTAGGAGAATTCAAAAGTCTTTACATACCGTTTGGTATAAATGAATTCCATATGTTTTGAGAAATTCATTTTGAAATGAAGAATTTTTGTGTTTGGTATTTAAAAGAATTCATTTTTAATTCTAAATTTTGAATTCTATGAAATTAGAACTAGTTATAGCAATTCCGAGGAATTGAGATGGAATTTCCAAATGAACTCCCCAAGTGTTTACTAGTTATAATATAATGATATAATTATCCTCTTTTATTAACTAAATTACTTATACATATGACATACCAAACAGAGGAATTCAATTGACAATGAAATCTGCACGACAATTCATTTTATTTCTAAGAATTTGAACATGGCATACCAAACACAAGATTTAATTTGACAATGAATTCTACATGACAATTCATTTTACAATAAAATGAATTCTCTATTCATTATCTCAACCATCATATATATATATATATGATCACTTAAAAAAAATATTGACCCTCTTAAAAACACAGTTGCATAACATATATTAATTATTGTACATTTCATCCTACGCTCATCTTTCTCTATCTTTGTCTCATTCAACCAGCATATATACAACTTTATGTACAATAAAAGAATATATCTTGGTTAAGCAGAAAATCCTATCCTCTTTACAAAATGTAAAGGAAATCTATAATGACATTTGAACGTCGAATGGTATGATGTTTCCGCAAAGTAAATCAAAGTTGATGTTAATAAACCATAGATGGATGATATTGTACAGTGTTTCTATGTAAAAAAACAGAAACTAAAATTCAAAATGAAAGAGGTACAATTCATTTCAAATTAATGAAGAATAATTAACTTATAGAGAAAAGGAAGGAGCAGATAAAATGTATGAGTTTGCCCCAAAATGTCATCCAATAATTATATTAGTCATGAGATTGGTTTCATGACTTCCCTTTCCATCCTCTCAAAGAAATGGCAAACATTGGTCTTGAAAATTTGGAACATAAAAGGTGATTAATCTCAAGGAAGTAAAAAACAATTCGCACGAAAAATGTTGACCGAATATACAGATTAAGCAGCAAAATTAACTTGTAAACTATAAAAATATTAATATATATAAATCCACAGTACCATATCTAGTTCTTATATATATCTCCCTGCACATATAAAAAGTATATATGAAAGTGTGGAGCAATGCAAACACTCGGAATAGCTAGCTGGCAAGGTATAATAGACAGCTTACTTGCGTGTATATATATATGATGATGAAATGAAATAATTAAGAAGGCAGTGGTAGTGTACTAGGAAGTGCCGTCATTGTGTTGGTCTTGGTCATGACGATGAGGTTGGTCATTGTGTAGATGAAAGAAGGCAGGAGTGGGATTGAGGAAGTGAGTAGTGAAGGGAAAAGGAGGAGCCGAGGGCCTTGCTGAAGTGGCGGAGCTCATAAGGTTGAAGCGGTTCATCAACTGCTGCTGCTGCTGCTGTTGTTCATCACCAAGACTAGTAGTAGTAGTAGTACGGCTACCCATCATCTCCAAAGGCGTGTAGGATGGCGGCGGCGGCATTAACGACATCATCGTCGACGGTTGACGACGAGCATGATCAGTAGCACTAGTGTCTTCGTTGCAGAGCGCCAAATAGGAAGGATGCAGCAGCGCATTACTACCACTACTCGAAGCCATATGGGTGGTGGTGGTGCTGTTGCCTAATCCCAGCATTGGCTGTTGTTGATGAGCATTATTATTATTATTGTAGTCCACCCACTGGTAGAAGCGCGGGTTTAAGAACATCCCACCACCACCACCCGCAGCAGCAGCAGCTTGGCGTCCATCCTCGTTGTTGTTGTGGTTGTGGTTGTCGTCATCCTCGTCCTCGCCACCGTCAATATCATCATTCCCAATACTGGTCTGCCCCAAGGACATCATTGACGAGGTGGACGAGTTTTCTTCCCACTGCCTCAAGGAGTTGTAATAGTTGTGGTTTGGAGTAGTAGCAGCAGCGGTGAAATCGAACAAGCTGGGGGCGGCCTGGCCGTTGTAGTAGGAGAGCGGCGGGTGGTGAGGAGCGAAGGAAGGCGGGAAATGGAGCGGGGGAAGGTTGTCGATGTCGTCCTTGGTGTTGTCGATGAGCCAGTCGATGACTTTGCTGGGCTGGCCGACACCGAGGCGGTCCTGGAGGTCGTAGAGCTGGATGGCGGTGGGGACGGAGAGCCGGATTCTGCGGTCTCTCAGCCCTCTCACGGTGCACACTTTGCTGTGCCTGTCTTTCCCTCCGAACGACCGACACACCCTCACTATCCTCGGGTTCCTGAAGGCCGACCATCTGCTGCTCGCAGTTGCTGTTTGGGGAGCTGCAATATTGCTGCTGCTATTAGTGTTGTTGCCTGCTGCTACAGCTGCTGCTGCTGCATCTTCTTGCTTGGCTTCTACTTGCGCAACCGACTTCTCTCTTCCGCTGCCCCTTGCTATCATACTTCCTCAGCCCTCTCTGTCTTCTCAACTACTCGCTGACATTAGTTATACATCTTCTTAACTCCACACTGCCAAATTACGATCATCAGCTGCTTGCTTTTCTTACAATCTCGTGTTTGAATTCTATTGTTGTTGAATTCCTTTCTCGTATGCGTATATATGACTCGTACTATATATTCTATGCTAACCGACACCGCAACTTAGCTAGCTCAAGAATTTATTTATATTACATGTATGATTATAAATACAACTTTACCAAAAGTGAGCCACCAAGCTAATTAAGCTAGGGATCGATCTATGTGAGCATGAATAATTACCACAGCAAGTACGTATATATGCATCTAGGGCTAAGGAGATTGAGACTCAACTCTATATATGCATCTAGGGTTAAGGAGATAGATTGAACACAAATTTCCATCCCCAGCCGATTCAAGTCTGGAAAGTGCTTCAAACGGGAGTGCAATTTAACTGTCTTTGAGTGAGACAACTATTGATACAAAGGGGGGGAATTAATTGTCAAGGAAAGCAGATATTGGGAGTAGATAGAGGAACGGAAATGGGGAATTATCATATCATGCCAGAAACTGAAACAAGGCCTAGCTAGCTAAATTCCTTCAGCGTAGGATAAAGAGTAGTTCAAGTGAGGACTTACATGCAACAAGCTAGCAGAACCCTTGCCTATAGTTGAGTTTGTGTTGAAGCTAGCCAGCCTCTTCTTCTTCAAACTGGCGCAACTTTGGTGCTCCAAATTGCTCCGTGATTCTCTTGGAGCTAGGCTCAAGAAGGAGGGAGAGTTAGGAAGCAGAAGAAGAAGAAGAAGAAGAAGAAGAAGAAGAAGAAGAAGAAGAAGAGAAGGTAACCAAGGAGATTCAAAGGAAGAACATGAAGCGACTTTTGAATTGAACTGCTATCTTTTGGAATTGTCTGAAATATATTGCTGATTTGTTCGTGAAAGTTCACTTCTTCGATATATATAATCCAAAAAAAAAAAAAAAATGAAGTTGAGCTTTGTCATTGGCTTTTCGAACAAAAATGTGTGGTCCGGTTACAGCCATACATTATTCTGTGTTTTTATTTCGACGCGTCTTCTGTACGCACCGATAAAATAGCAAATAAAAAAAAATATATCATTCCTTAGTTCAAAGGAAATGGTGAAAATAAACAAAACTAGTTTACTCCTTCAATTTTACTTTTCTTTAGATAAAATTAGGTTATTTTATTTTCACTTTGTAGGTATACGATGGTCAGTATTGATGGGCCGGGACCATATATATATCCGGTGCTTTTTGAACAATTACAAGTGGCTTTATAAAGTTGTTATGCATGCCTAGCTAGCTCACTTGACAACCCAAGGAAAAGGACCAGAAACGAAAGTAACTATTCTTTCTTCGATGATACCCTATGTGAATGTGAGTATTTGGGTAGTACAATGCTTACAAACTAAGTTACAGTGACCAGAAAAGTGTAGCGAAAGGAAACAATTGTAGTACCCACTCCAATAAGTTTTTCCATGTTATACATTTTTGTTATATTTTGATAATTTTATCCATCTTCAAACTTTCTCAGTTTTTAACTTCATTATGATTAGTAAGCAAACATATACATGTATTTACCAAAAAACCAATCATAGCGACTTTGGATCAAGAAGTACTTGGCCATTGGCCAAAGACCAAGAAATCACCACTTGATACATCTAATATCGTCACATATATAATAACATTCTTCGAACATTATTGAATAATGAATATGAATAACACTTTTTATATTTTATGTGGATTCTCATGTTAACTCTACACATAATATAATACACCGAAGGCAAAAACGGGAGCCCCATTTCAAATTTCCTGCAACGAGAGTGAAAGTAGAAAGGACATTTTGGTCTTCACAATTACTTTTTTTTATTCATTAAAAAGGTATGTACTGGGATTTGAACCATGACCATTTTAAAGAAAGGCAAGGATCATAACCAATCACACTAAGTACATTTGTTGTATCCTTTTAAATTAAAAACATATAATAGCAGGGTGGAAAAAACTCTTCCCCCATTTCAAATTCCCTGTTCCATGAGCGTTTGTAGGAAGGGTAAAATAGGGAGTATCAATTTTTTTCTCTTTCCTCTATGGAACGGGCCAACTTACCGTACACATGCGGATTTAAACGAGTTCAGGAGTGTCAAATTTTTTTTTATACCCTTTTATTTATATGTGGTGATAAAATATATATGAAAAGGCAAAAATAATACTCCTTTTTATTGTTAAAAATAAAAAATTTAACAATAGACTAATGCATGGTATCTAATGGGCTAACCGCTAACCATAAAATAAAATAGTTGAATGGGCCTGATCTACATGGGATTTGGTCATCAAGTAAAACAAATGAACATCATGGGTTTGCCATTCTAAAACAAGCTATTTTCTCTGGCATAATATATATTATGCTATTATTTTATATCTTAGTGGCTAAAATATAATGTATTTTAAAGTTATTCAATGGTTCAACCTCGACCAACCCAATAAGTCCAATTTTTATCATTTCAAATATATATTTTATAATTATTTGACATCATAATGATCAAATTATAGTGTATTTTATAGGGAATCGTTTGGTATTTGTTAGTAAAAAACTAAACATAAAAATCTATTTGGTTATTTTAAACATTAAAACGATCCTCAACATTTTCAGTTCCTTTTGAATTTATATGGTTTTATTCCCGAATAAGTGATGTGCAAATGGCGAATTTGTAGTCGTCTTTTTTCTTTCACTATTTTTTTATTTTCAAATAGAAAGTTAAAAGTAAAGAATAATTAGAATTTGGCATGGGTCGGTCAAACAGGTTGAATTTCAAGTTTTGGCCCATTTGTTTTATACATTGCAAATTCATTAGCATGTTGATGGAAATGGCTTGGAAAAAAGACATATAAGTTGTATCTTTGCAGAAATGTCCTCAAATGTTTGAATGCTTTGTGAATCAGGTTCTGTGACTTTTGTGATGGTGTATGTGCTTGACGATTGCTCGATGTTGTAACTACTTAATTTAAGAGTAAATCTTTTGACTTTCCCTATGAGTTGTGATACCAGTTCTGGTGGTTGCAGCATGTTGTCGTTGTTGGCCTGTAAAAGTTGTTCCGCCGTGATGCTAAATACCTTTCCTTCTTTTTTAACAAATTGTGTAGTAGTGCTATGAAACAGACCACCCATGAACGCTACGCTTATTATGTTCTGTTCTTACTTCCGGTGGTGAGAAATTGTGAATTGAGAATCATATTCGCCTACCGCACTGTGTCTGGTTGGTGGCTGCTTACTGTGCTCTCTAGAGTTATGAAACAGACTACCCATGAACTTTACCCTCAAGAGTTCACAACTTTGCGAAAAACCAAATATAGGCAATCAAAGGTGGTGGATGTGTGATGATTTTTTATGGCTTAATTGTTTGTGAATTAGATATCTGATCTTTGTATGATTAGAGGGGATGTTTGCTTAATAGAATAATCCATTTTAATTCATATTTATTTTTAACATGAACTTTAGTAACTCAAAACCTTCGAGACACATATCACCTACTGCATTGTATCATTTTGCCTGGGTGCTTGCTGTGTTGTCAAACTTCTTTGCTGCTGATGCATTTACACTAACAGGGGAGTTAAGAAACCCATGAATGTTTCCGTTTGACACAAACAAGAGGACTTACTTCTAAATCGTGCACTAAAGATGATTGGAGGAAACATCTCTGTTGCAGTTGATACACTGGAGACCATAACAAAAGCAACGTATAACATCAAAACCAACCATCTGAACTATTAGCATTGTTGCTTTACTCTTTTTTCGTGGTTGAGTCTCCTTCAAAAAATTTAGTTTGATTTTAGAAAATTTTACTTCTGCAGTCCTGTCTTGCCACCAACGCGTTCAGTAGATGGAGATGGCAGAGGCGAAGGCTATTTTGTGTTGTTGTTGCTGGTTTAGGGATCAGTTTGTGAAGAAGAGGGAGAAGAGAGGGGGAAAGGGAAATGCATGAGAGGGGGATAACTCTTTTCTCCGACAAAAATGGAGTGAAGAAAGGAATTATGATCAGTAAGGATATGGTTATCTTACATAACTGTGTCTATTCTGTTTGAATTGAGCTTGGGAGGTAGTGATAAGGACGAGCTGCAACCAATTCATAGTGATAAGAGTGCTATGAACTGTGATCATGTCTTATTTCAAGTTAGAAGGTAGTTTCAGTATAAGGATTATTTAATTTGACAAGTTGTTTCGTCCATGATTCTTGGTAGTTTCAGTGCCATTCTAGCCATTGTTTAGTCTGTAATTTTTGAGAATTGATGTGCGAGTAATGACTTTCACTTAGCTTCAACTATTATGTGTGTATTTATTGGCATGTGATAGAATTCTCTTTTCCTTTTCTTTGAATTCAGTTTCATACTCTAATTGTATCATTTGTACATAGGCAAATCATGCTCGAGATGACAACTCGCTGATATGGCTGGTGCAAGGAATGAAGCCATCATTAAAATTCAGACCGACAAAGGGGAGGGATGCCCAGGACTAATTCAATGATGATTGATGATGGTATGATAAAATCTGCAGTCTGCATCAGCACCAATTTTTAGGCCCTAGTAAAGTTATTCAACCCAGAACTCTGCTTAGCGCTAAAAATTGCCCTCACCCAACCTTTATCCTGTTTGACCCACTTCTGAAGAGTCAAGATATATTACTAATTCTCTCCGTTCGTATTTTCTTATTGGCTCTTTCTGACCCTTTAGGTTGGGGCGGGTCGGGAAGAATCGGATTAGTGGGCCGGTCCTAATCAAGTGGAATCCCAATCTCTTCACTCTCACTTGCTTTCTCTCCCATTCCACAAGTGGGTAACATACAGTAATCCGGCCAACGGGCCGGGTAATAAGCTAGTAGTATTTATATTCCTGCATAAGCCCATTTTTTGTAAAGGTGTTCCATATTTTATACCTAAAAAAATAAGTGACACGTCTAGGGACAAATGTATGATCATTATGTGAACAAACGTATGTAATGGTTGTAATTTTATGATATATATGGTTAATTATAACATACAAATACAAGCGATTAAGTTCAAAACTTTGATGCTAATTCAAGTGTTCATTTAAGTAGGGTGCATGCTATGAGCACTTCTACTATGCTATATAGTATTGGTGCTTTAATGTACAACTCAAAGTTGTACCATAACATTAAATGTATAAGTTTAGGTTGTACCATTAAACAATTTGTACCATTATGTTATGATACAATTTTACAACTTGAAGTTGTACCATCACATAAAGGTACAAGTTCAAGTTGTACCATAAAAGAATTTTTACAAAAAGTATAGGTACAATCTGAAGTTGTACCATAACGTAAATGTACAATTTTAAGTTGTACCATAAAAACAAAAACCTATAATACCAATACTATATAGCATTGTAAAATTTCTCGCATGCTAGCAGTGTGAAAGTCATCTTTTTTTTTTTCATATAATTAATCGTGGGAGTAAAGGTTTAAATTCAGGGCGTGGTGTGCTTTATTGGTTTTACACAACCATTAGGCCAAATACTTTATGTAGAAACGATAATTAGGTAAGCTAAAAAAATGAAATAACGTAATTTGTAAATTTTTTTTCTTTATTTCCAAACCATTTACAGACTTTCAGTAAATCAAAGATATGGCACATCATAAGTAAGAAAATTGTATCAAGGCCGCATTTATCGGAGTTTAGGACATGAATACCCTAATTCTTAAAAAAAATGAAATTTAGGTCATAATTGGACGCACTAGATTTCGATCTAGTGGTAATACCATTAGTATTGAACCTGGAGGTCATAGGTTCGAATCCCTTAAATAATACCTTATAATAAAGATCATTTTAATTAGAAACAATAATCGATGGTCGTCATTCGTCGAAATCCATCCAACAAAATATATCCATCATCTTAGTGTTTAGACTCTATGATTTGGATAGTTAAAATAAAGGGTTCAGTCTTCAAGTGTATGGATATATGACATCATGTCGCACAATTTAGTTAATTCAATGTTTAGATAACACTTTCACATCAGAATATGTGTACACTAGAGTTACCCTAAAGTACGACAGAATACACAAAATGTATATGTATGAATGAACTTAGCAACTAACAGTTCCTCATAGATTCTGGATCTGATACCCTGGAAAAGATCCTTCTATTCACCATTGTGAAACAAAAGAGAGGAAATTGAAGTGAAACTTTTTGTGGG